GCCCATAGGATTGTGAGACATTGAGGGTCCCACATTATCTAGACAATCGGCTCAAAGATGGCAGTAAGGTTGTCAGCCTTACGTGCTGGCTGCGCTTTACCCCCCAGGAAAATTATTTATTTAATACCTGGTACTCATTTCTGTTAGAGGCTGAGTGAACCCCTGGGCCATAGTGCGGCCAGAAGGATTGGGTCAATTGAAAAAATCCAATGACCTCATCAGTATTTGAACCCGCGACCTTCCAACTTGTAGCATAGTGCTTTAACCACTGCATAAATAATTTTTCTGCTAGACATACTTTTGGTATTAAATGGGTGCCTTAGTCACCACAATGTAGTGCATCCTTGGGTTGCAAATGGATGGGTTATGGAATATACACTGAATAAGCAGTTGCAGCCAGCCAGCCAGCCAGCAAGGAATGATCATCAAGCCAAGGAGATGGGTGTAAGTTTATCAACCCTTCAATGTAAAATGCTGTGTTATAAAACATTTACAGAATCCCCAGAATGTGAGAGATTATTTGAATGACTCAGGCAGTAATTGAAGCACATGACAGAAATGGATAAAATGGAGGTATGCTGTCAGTATAGGAGGTAGATGGAACTGGCTGAAGATTCTGCCTAATGGCAGACCCTGGTATCAGTTGTCTTGAAACTTTAAGCTCTATCAAGATAAAGTTGGTATGTTACCAGATATATTTCAGGCCATACGGTGAAGTGTTTAAGCAAAATATCATGAAGATACATGGTCAGCTTATACTGCCATCACTTTACCTCCAAAGAAACAACCTACAGTATTCACTGCACAGAACACTGAGTCAAATTTGTATGTTCTAAAATTCTACAGTATACCAAGAAGTCATCACTGGAAAAGACTTTCCAGCTGACAATCATTGACTTCAGAATACGTCCATTGGGGGGGGGGTTCAACCCTGTTAGCACCAAAGATAAGTTTTCAATTCTTTAAAACATGCTGCATACTTTAATAGTACTTTGCATTGATGTTACCAGACTAATAAATTTAAGTCCTCTTTAAGTAACCAAATTTTCACTATGTTATAAATGGTGAAGTTATCTGAATTTACAATAGTACACTGCATTTCATGAACCAAAAAGTTAAGCAGTCTTACATTGTTTCTATAGAATAGTTCACACAAAATGTGAGAGTGATTTTCTTTCTGTGCTTACCATAGGTCAGCATTCTGATCATAGGGTTTCTCTTCTATGAGTTCTGGGGCCATATAGAGAGGTGTACCCTTGATGGATGTTAAGACGTAAGTACCTGCACTCATACTACGAGCAAAACCAAAATCACACAACTTTGCTACTCCATTGGCTTCCAATAAAATATTCTGAGGTTTTAAATCCCTATGAAAGAAATAATTGATTTAAGAATTATTCAACATAAAAGAATAAAAGCAGAGCAGACTATTCAAAGGACTCCAGGAATATGCTTGTGCAATATATCTCACAAGTTCAATTAAACTTGTCATATTATACATACAGGGTGTCCCAGGAGGAATGTGCCAAACTTCGGGAGGGCGTTCCTTATGTTAAAGTATGCTGATATAACCCAAAACACCTATGTCCAAAGTTGAACGGTTACGGAGATAATGGCCCAAGAAAAGTGTGGTCTTCTGGCAGGTCCAAGCACTGTACCTCGCTGTACCTCTCAGCTGAGAGCCCTTATCTATGTTTGTCCTTGAGTGCGATGATACTCCCTAGCCGTGCTTATGTAGTTGGCTCATACCAGAACGCGCAGTCAGCACGTTACGTCATCGCTCGCCAGTCATGTGTTATGTATACTGCTTGGAAACCTAAGGACAATTATGACATGGCGAGCGAGTATTTTGTACTTCAATTTTATGGCTTTCCGTCACTCACAAGTTGGTTTGATGTTACGTACATTATTAACATTACAGAATCCACATATTCCTGCCAGTTTTAATATGTATTTTGTAATCAACAAGTGTGTAACCCCGGTCAAAGTTTGACACTTCTCGGGCCATTATCTCCGTAACCGTTCAACTTTGGACATAGGTGTTTTGGGTTATATATATATAATATATATATCGTATATAAGTAAGAAAAAAGTAAAGCTACCCCTGTACCAGGCTGTAAAGGCCCATAGGGTTGTGAGAAGTTCAGGGTCCCACATTATCTAGATAATCGGCTCAAAGATGGCTGTAAGGTTGTCAGCCTTATGCGCCAGCCGCGTTTTACTCTCCAAGAAAATTATTTAATTAATTCCTGGTACTCATTTCTGTTAGAGGCTAAGTGAACCCCAGAGCCATAGTGCAGCTGGAAGGATTAGGTCAATTGAAAAAATCCTACGACCTCTTCAGGACTTGAACCCGCAACCTTATATATATATATACGTAGGTCATACAGAAAGTCATGAGCAACTTTTTTTGCATGCAACCTGGGAACAGCAGACGAAAGAGAGTATGGTGGTAGATGGAACCAGCTGTTGTGTTAACCTTGAATGTCTTGTGACATCAATAGCTTGCATCACGTGACCAGCATCACTCCTAACAAAATGGCCAAAAACGATATGTCATTTTGCCAGCGTGCTGTCATCGAATTTCCTGTGAAAGAGAAAATCCCTGCTGCAGAAATTCACCAGAGACTTCAGCGTGCTTATGGAAGTGTGTGCATGGGTGTCAGCAGTGTTCGAAGATGGGTGAAACATTTTAAAGATGGGAACACCAGCATCGAAGATGAGCCTCGGAGTGGTCGTCCTTGAACAGCCTCAACTGAACGCAACAAGGAAAGAGTGGATGAGATCATTCAAGATGACAGGTGTGCGACTGTGGACACAATAGCCCGAAAACTTGGAATAGAGCACAGTGCAGTACAGGAGATGACTGAAAGCTTGGGCTATAGGAAAGTTTGTGCTCGTTGGGTCCCGCGGTTATTGACCGAAGACCACAAAGGTTAGCGAAAAGCCATCACCTCAGAACTGCTGCAGAGATATCGACACGAAGGCGATGATTTTTTGCTCTGTATTGTGACAGGTGACGAAAGCTGGTTTCACCATTTTGAGCCTGAAATGAAACGGCAGAGTATGGAATGGCACCATTTGCATTCTCCATCAAAAATGAAGGCAATGACAGTGCCATCAGCTGTGAAGGTGATGGGCACAGTCTTCTGGGATGCAGAGGGGTTTATTCTGGCCGAATTCCTGGAACCTGGGAAAACCATCAATGCTGCTCGTCATGTCCAGACGCTGCAAAAGCTCTGTCATGCATTGCTTGATAAACGTCCAGGACGAAACTTCATCATCCTGCATGACAATGCTCGCCTCCATGCCGCTCGTCTCACATTGGGAGCAATTGCAAAGATGGGGTGGGAAGTTCTTCCACACCCCTCCTATAGCCCTGATCTGGCACCCTCCGACTACCATCTTTTCGGATTTGTGAAGGATCAGCTGCGTGGACGTTTTGAGACAAGGGAGGCAATTCAGAAAGCAGTGCGTCAGTGTCTTCGGATGGCTGGAATGAATTTTGCAGAAGGGGAATTTTCAAACTCCCAGAATGCTGGGAGAAATGTGTACAAAGAAATGGCAATTATGTGGAAGAATAAAGAAAGGTCTGTATATTGAGTTGGTGTATTTGGTTTGTCAATAATAAAGCATGTTACTTTA